TCACCCTCGACCTGTGTCTTTCACTGTTTACTGATGACACGTCATCACAAAGACAAAGCAGAGACAAGCCAGGAGGAAAGGGACAAGGAACGCTCCTAGAAGAGACAACGTGGGGACAGCGGCCATGGCCTGCCCCTCTGACACCAGGCATGCGGGCGCCACGCCACACAGCTCCAGCTCTCCAAGCCAAGTGAGTTGTGATGCGCCCAGAGCCAGCGTAGCCCCACAGGCTACAGTGCCAGGTGCCCAGGTACTCACGCTTCTCTCTGACTTGGCTGAAAATCGGGGGTTCTCTCGGCCCTTCTTCAGGTTCAGTGACTTGCTACAACAGCTCACAGAACTCAGGGAAAACAGTTTACCTCATTTACCAGTTCATTATAAAGGATGCAACTCTGAACAGCCCCATGGAAGAGACCCCAGCAGGAGGCACTGGGGGCGCGTGGCTCCGGCTGCCAGCCTCCCAGCGCCTGGGTGTCCAGCAGCCTGTGGGTCACGGGTGTTATGCAGATTTCCATCATGTAGCACGATTGATTAAGTCTTTGGTCATTGGTGATTAACTTAGTCCCCAATTCCCCTCCCCTCCCCGGAAGTGGGGGGCTGGAAATTCCCCCTCTTGTCACCTGGTCAGTTTCCCTGGTGACCAGCCCTCAACCTCCTGGAGTCACCTTATTTGCATAAACTCAGGCCGTGGTTGAAAGGGGCTTAATAGTCAGTATCACACCAAGAACAGCGTGGCCCAGAACCAGAACTGGCCACAGCCCTCCTGTCCTGTCGTGTCCCGGGGGTGTGAAACGAAGGCCTCCTGAGTGGCCGTCCCGGAAGAGGCTGGTGGGCAGGTGCTAGATGGNTTTACCCAGGAGGCTCCAGGTCTCTCACTGCGTCGTTCAGAACAAGCATCTCAGTGCTTATTAGTATTTTAATATGTGGGCTTCTGGGTGAACTGCTGTGTGTCACTGTGACATTTTAAAGCCATTTGCTCCCAAAGAAAACAGTTTCCTCATTCGTCGTAGATGCCACTTGAATGATCTTGTTCACCGTCCTGTTAACATTTTGGGCAACTGGTATTTACATTTTGGAAATAATGTGACACGGTCACAGGCGTTGTGCTCCAAGCACGGAGAGCACCCGGGTGGTGCAGGGCAGGCTGGGCACGTCCCTGGGAAGGGTCTCTATGTCAGCAGCCAGCAGCCGATCAGGTTTTAAGAAGCCCGGCTTCTTCAGACGCTGGCCTCAGGGCAGCTGATCTTCACTGTTTAGCAGATGTTTCTTGAAAACAAGTAACGAGCAGGTGGTAGAAAGCTGTGTAAAATGGAACCCGTCCTGCATCTTCAGAGCTCTCTGTGGCTGTGGTGACTGTCCCCTGCCTGCCTTCCCACAGCCTCAGAGCTGGCGCGTGCGTGTGTGCGTCTTCTCAGTCTGCTTGAGCCTTGTGTTGGTTTTCTCCGATGCACCTTGTCAGGGAACCTCAGGACGGAGCCGCGTTCGTCCTACACTGTGGGCTACTCCCCACCTGCCCCACCCCACCCCCCAGCACTGGCGCCTCCACGCTGTGTCTGCTTAGGACACGTGACCTTCGCACCATCTCCCATGCGCTTTCTCCTGTGTTTGTGCGTGCGTGCATGTGTGTGTGTTTGAAAAATACACAATGGTGTCACTTTGGGGTGTTCGCATGTGTGTTGTTAATTTACAGAAATGGCATTGTTTTCCAGTCCCATTCTGTATCTTGTATTTTCATTCAACCCCATGTTTTGGGGACACTTCCTGATGCTGTAATGGCAGCCCGCTGATGACTTCTACCTCATAGTCCTGGGCCATGCAAAGTCCATTCCCTAACAAGGGAAACTCGGACTCCCTCCAGCTCCCTCTGCAGGGCGGCCTTGAACTCCGTAAACACGGGCCATGATAGGCCTCTGCTGTTTAGGAGTCACACACGCCGGGGACTTCACAGAGTCCCAGCACATGCACCCAGACGGTCACACCAGCAGCACATGAGGTTAGCTCCCCACGTTTTTAATCGGCTGTCTCATCGTTTTACTTGACGTTTCTCTTGTCACCAGGAATGTCCAGTGTCTCCTCAGCCACCCATCCGGCCCCTTTGAATCACCCAGTTTGTATCCTTTCCACTTTGGACCTCAGGCCTTTTTCATCTTGATGTGCAGAAGTTCCTTTTATATAGTTTACATTGTAACTCTTATCGGTTTGAGACGATTTGGTGTCTTCTCCAAGTCCAAGCCCATGTCCTAACTTTGTGTCAACTTTTATTGAATAGAAACCCTTAATTTTGATGTAACTTTATCCATTAATTTGTCAACCTGTATCTGTACCTTTAGGAGCTTATTTAAGAAATCCTTCCTCCAATTAAGGGCATACAAATATTCCCCTATACGTTTTTCTAAGACCTTTATGATTTTACTTTCATATCTAAGCCTTGAACACATTTGTAAGTAATAATTAGCATTATTATTTTCATATAGTGAGTCGGTGTTCCCTGTGCCGCCTGTTGAATAATCTCCATTTCCTCACTGATCCGTGAAGGCGCCTCTGTCGTATGCTGAATTCCCTTATGAGGATGGTTCTGTTTGTACAGCCTTGATTCTATATCGGCCGATAGTTAGCTGGAAATTGCACAAATTTTGTAGTTTTTATTATTCTGACATTTTAATGTTTAAAGGTCTGGTTGGATACGACTGGCATTCTTTATTCTTTTTTCCAAACTTTTGGTAGCTTTTTATGAACCTTTATTCTTCTGTACATATTTTAGAATCAGCTTGTCACGTGTCTCCAAGTGCCTTCCTGGGATTTGATACGGAATGCATTGAAACTATGGATTGAAATGGAAAGAATTGACACAAAGTTAAATCAGTCCATCCGTGAATATCGTACACCTCTCCATATTTAATTTTCCTTTATGTCATTTATAGTTTTTCACAAAAATGTTAGGCAGTTTTTGACAGATGAATTCCCAGAACTTTATACTTTCTGTGTTAGTGTGATAATTACCTTATCTGCTATATATTCTGTATAATTATTGCTGGTGTAAACACCATTGATTTATTTTTATTGTAAAAACAATATAAAATTTACCAGCTTAACCATTTTTAAGATATTTTTATGAGCAGTTTTAGATTTAAAACAAAACAAAGGTACAGAGATTCCCATGCACCCCTCACCCTGCCACGTGCACAGCCTCCCCCCTCGTCAGCAACCCCACCAGATCGGGCACTTGTTATAACTGATGAACCTACAGCGACCCGTCATCGTCACCCAAAACCCATAGTTTATGTTTGGGTCACTGTTGGTGGTGTTCTCCTGTGGATTTGGACAAATGTATAATGACACGTACCCAACCTTCTTTGTAATGTAAAAACTGGACGCAGCGCGGGTGGCCATCACTGGTGCAGGGATGAACAAATGGCGGCCTCTCCGTGCAGCGGAGCCCCACTCTGGAAAGACAAGAAAGAGTGAACAGTGCTGTATACCACGTGGGCACGTCTCAGAACACTCGTACTTATGACGGCTAAAAGCACCCAGCCCAAAAACGGCTCCCTGTGCGACTCCATTTATGACAATTCCTGGAAAATGCAAATGAATCTACAGAAAAGCAGCTCCGCAGTTGCCCAGGGAGGGGCCAGAGTCAGAAGGGACAGTAGGAAGGCAGGGAGCAAGGTGTGAGGACACTTAGAGGGCGATGGTCTCCTGGGTGCGGACACACGTCAGAAGTGTCAGGCTGTGTGCTGTAATGTGTGTGATACACTGCATGTCCCCTGCACCTCAGGGACGCACGGACGGAGAAACCGCAGTGGAGTTAGGGAAAGACCGCAAGGCAACGGCAAAAACACCACAGCCAGTGGGTTAAAAAGA